CGCCGTGTAGTCTGAAAAAAAATTACTCCTACCTTCTATGATTCCTCTTGCTTATTCAATAAATAAATTTATTTGTTTCATTATCTTATTTACAAATTGTATACGGTCAATCTAACACGCCTAAACCCCACAAAACTTAAAACTCTCCTTGTAACTACGTCTAAATTGTTATTTTAATTATGGCTAGTTGAAGTTAATTTAAGTATGATCGGTTCGATTTACAATGAGCTTTGAGAATATGATTACGTGACTGCTCTTAAGCACAGCATTACTGGGCTTACATGCATATTTACCAGTATATTTCTTTATCTGACGTTTCTGTGAGCATAATTTTTTAACTCGTCTCCTGTTACATTTTTTATCTTAGGCTCTATATTATCCTCGTCTGAAACCATAAAAATATCCCTTCAAATCTATTTAAATTCTATGCCCACATAAATAATATTTAAGAATTCAGCCCGTACCGCAAAGGAAATCCAACGTCTCCTTTACAAATATCGTCCTGTTTATGCTGTTTAGGGAAATAATTACTATTTGCATTGAGTATCATACGAAACATATTCGTACAAAATGTAGAATTATTGATTGTTAAAGCATGTGACACACACGTAAAGTTGAGACTGGACTTTAAAACGATATCAGTGGAAGTTATTTTAAATATAAATAGAATTTTTGTCTTCAGAAATGTATTTTCTTGCGGAATGCGTTGTGAGAACTATAACAAATTTCTGATTGTTTCGAGAATCATCATCGCACTTCTCTTCTAGGGTGACAGAAAAGAAAATCTTCGAAGCTGGTCACTGAAGGACGATTTGTTTTTCTTTCGCAGAAAAAAATCATTTTCGCCTAAATTTAGTCTGCCCGAAGTTTTTTGTCAGTGATATTGTTGTGTTGTTCTTGACTGAAATTTGCTATCACGTAATTCCATTTCTTCGCGTTCTTGAAAACTTTTGAATGCAAGTTAATAGATGCTGGTATTCTTAAGTAACTGATATTAAATTTGCTTATATTGTTTTGGAAAATTTACGTTCCGAGATGATTATTTAAAAGAAAGAACGATATATAGAACATGGCTCTGATTTATTTTAGTCTTTCTTATTTTAACATAAATTTCAGATTCTGAAGAAAATTAATATTGTGTGTAATCTCACTAGAAATTTCATATGTAGCCTGTATATGTAATTTCTCTCGATACGATGATTATTTTCCATTGTAATTACGTGTCTTTGATGGATTTTACTCTGAATAGTACCAGCTCCTTGTTACGGGACATTGCGTCTCTCAAAATATTTTAGTGTTAAAATACGCTATAGTACTGTACAAGTTAAAATATCAGATGTAATTCAAATGCTCAGTGTTCTTTTGAATTTTTGAATAGAATTGACAGAAACGGTTATTATTAAATAATTCGTAAGAAGCGGCTGTTATTAAGCTATTCACAGGCTAGGCTAGGAGAAGTGCTGTATATAAAAGGTCTCTGATCCACGATAAGAATGGCTTACATCATTACAGATTACGTTTGACTTAAGTCCTATAAAA